CTCGGCCGAAATACTGTCCACTGAAGATGCCACGACGGTGACGACTACAAAGTCGGACGGGAAGGTGGGCTCGCAGCCTAGTGGCGATAGCACGGGCACGGGCGGGGAGTCAAGTCCTATTGACGTGGACAGGTTGGTGGATTCAGACGATTTCGAAACAGACTTCCACCTCGCCAAATTTCTGCAAGGTTTGTTGTTTGCCTCTTTGCTGCCTTTGTTTACCTAGGTTTTCCTTTGCTATGGAAATTGCACAGGGCCTGGGTTAATTTTGCTGCTAATAGTAGGAGGAGGAGGAACAGGATGCCACGCGCCAGTTTAAGGTTTCAAAATTGTGCCGATCAGCAGAGGAAGAGCATCTGCGATAATGCATAAATGGCTACTTTGCAACTCTGACAACAGCGAGCATAATTGTTGCGCCATTATCAAGCCCGCATCCAACGTGGACAACGAAATCGCGGCCATTGGTTAGTCGAAAGCAGTGTCAAGCCATCACCGCACTAATTAGGACTGCAAACGGCGATTACACGAGTTGATAATTATAGTACGCATGCGGATGACCGCTACTAACTATAAATACCATGCAATCTGTGCATGTATCAGCCCCCATCTGCGCATGTCCCATACTATCCTACGGTCACCTATGATTAAGGATTCTCGACAGAATCTGAAACGTCAGGAAAATAAAATTATTGTTCCATTGATCGCATCTTCTGCTACACTTATGACAATCGGCGGTGATTGCCCTCTTGCGCGTTAATTGCTTGCTGGCCGGCATGCGGGCTGTGACCTGCTGAACGTGCATCACGAGTCATCAACTCATCCGATAACGTGTAGCGCGTCGCTCGCCTCGCCCCATGCGGTTATAAATATTTCAGTATCATTATCTACCTTGTAAATATGAGTAGCATAAAACGTACACTATTTGGAGGGGGCTGTCAGCCAGCTACTGAATGGTAATGGCAGATTCCACCGGTCTTCTAAAACGGACTGCGTCGTTGCGTCAGACAGAAGCGGAACAGAACAGGTATGTGGTACGTGTTAGATGGAGATTCTAATCCCCTACGTCCAATGCCAAGTTTGGTGGGTTTGACAGGAATTTAGTACTGCTATAAGAGGGGCGAGTGGAAAGAGAATGAGGCCGCGCTGAACCCATTGCTTATAACTCTAATTTCAAGGACTAGNNNAGTTATTTAGGGCGAAGGCCAGATTATGATGCATCCACCTTGATGGGGAAGTTTTAGGATTCACTCATTTATGTGAGACTCCAGCCCCC